TAACTTTCTCATCTGATCTCGGAATGAGGTGATCTAAGATTCGTTGGAAAGCTCTTGAAGAGACCTACAACTTTGGTCTTATACACATTTTCATATTCTAACTGAATCAGTGTGCAAAATATAGAAACTCTCAACTGGTCAAAATTCTCAGATTCTCACTATTTGCCTATGTGCATGTTTTGTGTATTTACACTCATATATTCACAAATATACATTGAATTGATCTCAAATCAATTCCTATCATACTCAAATATCAAAATACATTATTTTCACTATATAACATATTTATAATTATTTATCACACTATATTCAAATTTTCGGGGTTTTACATTCTTCCCCCCTTAAAAGAATTTCGTCCTCGAAATTTGGAAATCATACGCATCTCGCAATACGAACTTCTAGATGAACATATGGAAATATTTATACCTAACGATCTAAAATGGTAATATTCCCGCTCGAACCCTAATCTAGTGGAACTAGTACATCGGGTGAAAAATCCAAACAAGGAACCCCCCATATATATACCATGTGTTCTAAAAGATTAAGAATTAAGTAGAAATATTCACATTCTAGTGTTAAATGTAAATATAACCCAAGATGTAAACATAATATAAAACACATATCATAAAAATTGATTTATCTGTTCAAACAGGAGTGGGTAGTCGCGACGCATGTCCTCATCGTGCTCCCAAGAAACCTCCTCAACTCCTTTCCGGTTCCACTGAATTTTCACCAAGGGAAAAAAATATTGTTTCTAAAGTTCTTGTCTTCTCTAGCAAGTATATAAGCTGAGATTTCAATCGTAGTCAAATCATCCTGAAGCTAAATCTCCGATGCGTTCAACACTCACTGTTGCTCTTCATCATGTAATTGTTTCTTGAACATTGAAACATGAAACACTTTATGTACTCTGGACATCGATGCTGGAAGGTCTAGTCCATATGAAACAGTTTATGTACACTAGACATCGATGCTGGAAAGTCTAGTCCATATGAAACAGCCCCAATAAGCTCCAAAATCCGAAACGGTCCAATATATCTCAGTTCAAGCTTTCTCCGCCTTCCGAATCGCTGAACGTCTTTTATAGACGATACTTTCAGCATAACTAACTCTTCAAATCTGAAACTCTAAATGTCCTCATTTATTATCTGCATAGCTCTTTTGCTGACTCTGAGCAGCTAGAACATGTTCTTTGATTTATGTTACTTTCTCAGTAATCTATCTCATAAGCTCTGGCCCAAGCATTAAAATATCCTCCTACTCTACCCAATATATAGGCGATCTGCAAGGCCTCCCGTACGATGCTTCATACGGGGTCACA